TAAAAAAATGAAAAAAATTTTTTTGAGTAAAAAAATAATATAACGGGGCTGGGATATATAGCTCAGTTGATAGAGTGCTTGTCTTGTATGCATAAGGCCCTGGGTTCAATCTGCAGCTCAAAAACAAACAAAATAATAATAAAAGATCCTTTTCTTTAATCACTGTATTCTTTTTGGCCAAAAACAAGACATAAAAACAAAAATTATTGTTCCTTTATAGGAACAATAATGTAATTACAAATTACATGTTTTATTACCAAGTGTTTTTAAAAATGCAGTTAAAGATTCTTTTACTAAATTCATCTTTCCTCAGCCCCTGATATATTCTCTTCTATGGATTCTATTTGGAGAAATCATAAATGCTTTTCTTCCCAAAGATTCCAAGGAGAACTCAATCCTTGGTGGACTATTTTTTGTTGAGTTAAATACAGTTTGTGTAGCCAAATGACTGTATGGGGTTCCACCTGGGCGGTGGGGCCCCACTCATTGGAAAGGTCAACTCAGTGCTAACTGTGGTCCAAAGCTGGCAAATCAAGCTATAAGGCCAGCCTAGGAGGCATGAGCTGGGAGAGAACCACAAAACCCTAACCCTACAATTCAGTCCCAACGAGAACTGTGTCTGGATAAGAAATTAAAGCATCAGATCACCTCTCACTTTGAGTAGAGGCTTCCATCTACAAAGGAAGAAAGAATTCCCCAGTGTGAGGAAACATTTAGGAAAATAATTCAGCTGTTCTATAGGTGACAGGAACTACCACATCACAATGATGGTGATAATGGCTAGTATTTGTTGAGTGATGATGTTTGTGTCCAGCTCTGGATCTTACAGATATTTAACCGTTACAGAGAGACCCTGTGGGGTAGCTAATACTGTTAGCATCCCCATTTTATTAGTGAAAGCAATTGTAAGCAGGAAACACCAGCATAGGGAGGTTAAAAACCTGCCCAAAGCCACACAGTAAGAAAAAGGGTTAGGAATTGGTTTCAGTTAGTCTGGTTCAAGAGATAGACTGTAAACCATAAAACTCACAATTTCAAAACATTGTGTTCTATTAGAATTGGTTGGGAGCTATTGCCTTCTGTTTGTCTCAATTTCAACTCAGAAAGATGGATAGTTTAATGCTGGTTACTTATAAGCAGGGTATAAATGAAATAATATTAGTCAAGGTTTACTGCCATGTCTGAGTTTACTGCTCTGTCTGAATTTAGAGGTTCAGGTGGAGAAAGTCGTTCCAGATTAACAAAATTGAGGTTTGAGTAATTGCTCATATGTGCCAGCACCTAATGACCTATGTGGATCCAGAGTTCCTGCCCTAATGGCACTCACAAACACTTTGAGTAAGCAAACTTCCAATGCAGCCAAGTAACCCCTGGAACTTACAGGTAACTCACAGAGCAACCAAGTAACCACAGGAATAGAGGGACTTTGGGAAATGAAATGGTCAATTGCATAGTAGCAAGCCTGGCTCCTTAGTGATATCCAGGCCCATTCAAGGCTATATCCCTGCCTCAGTGGGAAGGAATTGAGAGAAACTTAGAAAAATGAAACATTTTTGAATGGGAAAAAAAGTCACATCTATTTCAACTCAGGTTCAGTAGATTCTTGTACTCAGGACAAATGTCTAGTCAGCTAGATAAAGCAGGAACTGGAAATCCTTAAGACAAAAAAAAATTAAGTTTTTTCAGCTGGGCATAGTGGTGCACACCTGTAATCCCAGTGGCTTGGGAGGCTGAGGCAGGAGGCTTGTGAGTTCAAAGCAAGTCTCAGCAAAAACAAGGAGCTAAGCAACCCAGACACTGTCTCTAAACGAAAAGAAAGGGAGGAAGGAAAGAAGGAGCAATTAATGCCAGAGGGGGAGAGATAGGAATCAATGAAGCTTCACGGGGGAGATGGCATTTGCAAGAAGTCTCACAAAGTTGGTGTTTGTTGAAACAGATAAAGGAGAGGACACCTGGAGGGCCCTTTAGCCAAGGATGGGGTGTGGGGAAATGCAGGCCATGAGGCTGAAAGGTAAGTTGTGTTGAGTTGTAGACAGGATGATATGTGAAGGATCTAGGGGGCAAATTTTAAGGAGGCACTCACTCTCAGGCTTAGGCAAGAGTAGGGTTAGTACAGTGGTTGTGGCCAATAAGCAAAGAATTGACTTCAAAATCTCTTATATGGTTGATTTCCATTTTGAGAAGATGTACTTTTCCTTATTCTATGTGAAACTAAAACCTTGGACATTATATATAAAAGAGCATATGTTTCAGACAAGTAGAAGAATTCTGACTAGTTAGAGACCTTGAGAATCCAAGGAATGTCATGGTGGTGAATTCCCTGGGTTTTGTTTTTGCCTTATATTTCCACATTTGGGGCTGAAGGTGCCTGCAACTTGGAAACACCAGTGAGTTCAGGCAAAAGTCTCCAACAAAACCATACTCTGTTTAACCAAAGGACCAGGAAATGGGCAGCCTAGCAAGACAGAAAACTTTTACGAAGTTTCTGCTGCATTCTGACAAACACAAGGTAAACTGTGGCCCGACTCCAATCCCACTAGAAAAGACTGAATGTAGGGTGTAGACTTCACCAGACTGTATTCTCACCAGACTGTAAAATGGTGTCTCAAACTACTCTTCCATGCCTGGATGGTGTCAGAGAAGTCTCAGTAGAGCTGAGACTCAACCCTGGGTGGTAATAATTCTCCATCCATGTGGTATCAGTAGAGACCCTTGGGGAATTGAGATTTCCATCCTTACCCTGTTGGTAATGAGATACCCTCCTACCCAACTGCTGGGGTAGCATCAGAAGGAGGCCTATTGGAAACTGCACTGTCTGGAAACCAAAGCCACAAGGAGATTTTTCTGTAATCGTCTCTATAAGAACCTGGTTGAAGTCCTAGAGGCAAATCTCATGAAAATGTACCCCCGTCCCAACCCAAACAAAAATTGGGCCTCAGGGAGTTTTAGTCTCTCAAAATAGTTCTCATTCAGCCTCCAGTAAGACATTAATTACCATTTAAATATTCCTACCAGTTGCTGGCTCTGATGGTGGATTCTGTTCCTGGTAAGCTGTAGTGCTTTTTATTCATCTGTCTACCCATTTTATTCCTTTTTATTTATTTTTATTATTATTATTATTATTAGTGATGCCTTTTGCCCTGCTTGAATTCTCTGGTTGACTTCTGCAGAGTTGCTGATTTTTCAGTTTGTTCAGCATTTCTCTTGTTGTGAGGATGATAGTAACAATTCCCAAGCTCTTTACAAGTGGGAACAGAAACTGAAAGTCCTGTGTTAATTTTTATCCATTATTTTATTTATTATTTAGATTTGTTCTTCAGTTTGGGTAATCTCAATATATCTTTAAGTTCACTGAAGTTTTCATTGTTTATCCCTTTTTGTGGGCCACACTTTCTTGTTTCTTTATATATCTTAAGTCTTTCTAAAATTTAGACATTTAAAATAATATATCATGGAGCCGGGTGCAGTGGCCTATAATCCCAGCGACTCGGGAGGCTGAGGCAGTAGGATTGTGAGTTCAAAGCTAGCTTCAGCAAAAGTGAGGTGTTAAGCAACTCAGTGAGACCCTATCTAAATAAAATGCAAAATCCCTGGTACCCTCCTGCCAAAAAATATATATTTATATTTATATTTCATGGCATCTTTAGAAATCAGATTCTTTCCTCTCTCTAGGGTTTGCTGTTTCTGTTGCTTAGTATAGTTGTGTAGTTGTTGTTTACTGTTTTTTTTTTTTTTTCCTCTCGAATAGTTCTGTAAAGTCTGTATTCTTTGTCATATGTGGACACTGAAAAATCTACTGATTAGCTTAGTGGTCTCCTAACAAATGGGCAAATATTTCTTTAAATGTCTGCAAAAATGGAATACCCTAGTCATTGTTGAGTGGCTTTGTTTGCATGTGAGGCATGCCTTCAAAGCTCAGCCAAGCAGTTGAAAACTCTTCCTTGGCCTTTTCTTCCTGCTTGGGAAGAGCCTCAAGGTCAGCTCGAGGATATAGCTTTGGACTTAACCTTGAGCCTGCTCACAGTCCTGGACATGCATACAGCCTTACACATGTGCATGATCTCCTAGACTTCTGGGAACACGTTAGAGCTTTTCAAAATTCCTGCAGTTTTGGGATTTGGGGACATAATGTTTCCCCAGGTTTTCCTGTAAGCTTTTTTGGCCAATCTATCATTTGCCCCAAATGTTATCCACTACCTTAGGCAGGAAGTTAAAAGAAAATTGCCTGGAATAGTTTTTGCTGGAGTTCTGTTGGGAGAAGGATTATTACACTGGGTGATCTTCAGGTCAGGTCAGCTTTGCAAATGTGGTCTTAAAGGTAACCAGCAAAAAGTTCAAACAATGAGAGAGTTATTTGTTAATGAGGACTTGAAAGAGCTCCACCTTTGTTCTGTTTCTCTGGTAGCTGCTCTGGAACATAGGCTGTTATTTCAAGGTTACTATGGAGCTAAAGAGCAAGTGATGGGACAATGCCACAGGGTTTGCTATTTATACTGATCTTTGGTTGTTTCTCTTGAATTAATGCTTTTTGGAATGCTGCAAGGCTTTAGTTGATTTCAAGAGTTAAGAAAAAATTGTTCTTAAAAAAATATTGCTCGACTTGTATTTGTTTTATGGAATGACTTTGTGGAAGTTCTTATGCCACCATTTTTGTTGACATCTACTGTGCTGTTCTTGATCTCATCCAGTTTGTAGCTAGAGCAGTAAGGAAGTTGTAGTTAAAATAATTCCGTGCCTTTGCTGGATCAAAGTACCTTAAAATTATAGAATCCTGAATAAAGTGGGTAGCCTACTCAAATTACTTTGAGCCTTTTTATCTTGTCTAAAAAGCACGGTATGATACCAATGAACCTATATCTGAATCCTGTTAAATGGCTACATACTATTTCACAGGGTGGCTAAAATATAAAGTCTAAACAGTTTTCTATAATTGACCTTTTAGATTCATGAGCATTTTTAGATATTATTATCTCCACATTACTTCCCTTTTATTTTATCCAGATTTGCTTTGGATTAGCAATCAGAAGTTAAGTTTATCTGATGGAAACAAAATCTGAAAAGAGAAGATTGTGAGTCCCATGATGTAAGACAGTGTTTGGGTGATTCCGTTTCCATTGGTACTAAGCTATATCTGAGCATAGAATGGAATTAAGAACTTCATGAAAGAAGAACTGCTGTCTAGAGGGTTGATGTCAGATAGCCTGTGTCCTCACTGACAGTGGCTATCCATTCTGCCAACTCTGGTGGAAGATTACACTTCTCAAAGTGAGTTCTTCAATCCTGGATCTTAATAATTAGAGTCTGCTTTATTAAATTAAAGGTTTCTGAAGTTCCTGATAAAGATGTCCTGTTTCATAAAATGTATTTTAATTGTAATTTTGTTTTTACTGCCAGACTTCATCCAGCCAAGAAGACTCAGAAGGTAGTGAGTATGCTTTGGTAGTCAGATTGTTTTTATATCTTAGGGATTACTTTTTCACAGTTTCAGAAAGACAGGTTAAACACATTGATTATTCCAAATTAGATTTATTGGGAGGATTTACAATTTAGAATTTAGAAGGAATAAAGGCAGTTTTCAGTAGAAGAATGGAAAAACTTTTCCCCTCAAACATGCATTATTTACAAAATGGATTTGCAGATTCTCAGTATTGTCAGAACAATAATATTGTGAAACAGTCATTCCCATGGGAAACCTCTAGATCCAATGTACAATGAGAGGTTAGTTCTGGCTGTGAATGAGAACAGTTCAGAGGCCCAAGCACAAAGCCATTAGCTCCACTGCAGGCCTGATTGTTAATTAAGGGCCACCATAACCTATGAGAGGCAAAGAGTCTGTCCACTGGCTGTCTGTCCTTCTACTCCTTCTGTCTGGGTTTTGAATCTCAGCTCTTTTCATACAGAAGTAAACCCTCTTACCCACCCCTGGCCAGCCTCAGCCTCTCTGGGAAGAGTCCCTCAAGGTTTACACACAGAGGATCTGTGTTTGGGTCTGTTCCTCCTCTCCTGAGGGAAGTGTGTGGAGGTTGCTGACGGCATGTGGGAGGGAAGCCACTCTCACTGCTTGCCTACACTTCTCTGCCCAGGTATGTTTAAGTCTTTTGACCTCCGTACGATAATTATGTTCGCCATTGGTAGCGGGATCCTGGCGGCCATGCTCATGCTGATAGGACTGGTCCTCTGTCTTTACGTCAAACTCTTCAAGGCACTGAAGTGAGTCACATGGGTTGAGTAAGCGCCCCTCAGATGGGACACCCGGGGCTCTGCTTGACTGATCATTCCTTGCTGCCCTGGTCTCTTCCTGTGTGAGGTTAAGAGCTACATTTTGCATGTATAATAGTTGTAGGAGAGGAAAGGATGAGATAGGCACTCGGCACAGGGCCCAGAGAGTGTTCATCTAGGGCTGGTGTCATGTATGTGACTGGCTCCAACTCTGAACCTCCCACATACCCCTGATAATTGCAAGAAATACATTGTAAAGGAAAATTCTAAGGCCATGTTTTGTGTTTGTTTTTTCTTAAGAGCTGCAAAGGAATGCTGTTCAAACAAGTTCCAGAGTAAGGGAAACCCACCTAAAGGCATCACCGAGACTTCTCCTGCCCTCCAGTGCTGTGATGAATGTAGCATGTATACAGATTATGATTCCCTGCCACCTTGCCTTTGTGGCACAAATGAGGGACTCTGACATGGGAATGGTGGACATAAAAATCTTGAGCAATATTTCTTTCTTAGTGGAATGTTTTATTATTCAAGTTCTATAGTGTTTACATTATACTACATACTATAAAATGTTATTTTATGTTATTTTAAATAAATGTACAATGTTGAAAATATTCCTCTCTTTCAGCATTTTTTCTTAGTTACACCTGCCTCTTTTTTTTCTTATTGGTTGTTCAAAACATTACAAAGCTCTTGACATATCATATTTCATACATTTGATTCAAGTGGGTTTTGAACTCCCAATTTTACCCCAAATACAGATTGCAGAATCACGTCGGTTACACATCCACATTTTTACATAATGCCCTATTAGTAACTGTTGTATTCTGCTACCTTTCCTATCCTCTACTATCTCCCCTCCCCTCCCCTCCCATCTTCTCTCTCTACCCCATCTACTGTAATTCATTTCTCTCCTTGTTTATTTTCCCATTCCCCTCACAACCTCTTATATGTAATTTTGTATAACCATGCGGGTCTCCCACCATTACCATGCAATTTCCCTTTTCTCTCCCTTTCCCTCCCACCTCATGTATCTGTTTAATGTTAATCTTTTCTTCCTGCTCTTCCTCCCTGCTTTGTTCTTAGTTGCTCTCATTATATCAAAGAAGACATTTGGTATTTGTTTTTTAGGGATTGGCTAGCTTCACTAAGCATAATCTGCTCTAGTGCCATCCATTTCCCTGCAAATTCCATGATTTTGTCATTTTTAGTGCTGTATAATACTCCATTGTGTATAAATGCCACTTTTTTTTATCCATTCATCTATTGAAGGGCATCTGGGTTGGTTCCACAGTCTAGCAATTGTGAATTGTGCTGCTATGAACATTGATGTAGCAGTATCCCTGTAGTACGCTCTTTTAAGGTCTTCAGGGAATAGTCCGAGAAGGGCAATAGCTGGGTCAAATGGTGGTTCCATTCCCAGCTTTCCCAGGAATCTCCATACTGCTTTCCAAATTGGCCGCACCAGTTTGCAGTCCCACCAGCAATGTACCAGAGTACCCTTTTCCCCACATCCTCTCCAGCACTTGTTGTTGTTTGACTTCATAATGGCTGCCAATCTTACTGGAGTGAGATGGTATCTTAGGGTGGTTTTGATTTGCATTTCTCTGACTGCTAGTGATGGTGAGCATTTTTTCATGTACTTGTTGATTGATTGTATGTCCTCCTCTGAGAAGTGTCTGTTCAGGTCTTTGGCCCATTTGTTGATTGGGTTATTTGTTTTCTTATTGTTTAATTTTTTGAGTTCTTTGTATACTCTGGATATTAGGGCTCTATCTGAAGTGTGAGGAGTAAAAATTTGTTCCCATGATGTAGGCTCCCTATTTACCTCTCTTATTGTTTCTCTTGCTGAGAAAAAACTTTTCAGTTTAAGTAAGTCCCATTTGTTGATTCTTGTTATTAACTTTTGTGCTATGGGTGTCCTATTAAGGAATTTGGAGCCCGACCCCACAATATGTAGATCAGAGCCAACTTTTTCTTCTATCAGACACAGAGTCTCTGATTTGATATCTAGGTCCTTGATCCACTTTGAGTTAACTTTTGTGCATGGCGAGAGGAGGGGATTCAGTTTCATTTTGTTGCATATGGATTTCCAGTTTTCCCAACACCATTTGTTGAAGATGCTATCCTTCCTCCATTGCATGCTTTTAGCTCCTTTATCAAATATAAGATAGTTGTAGCTTTGTGGATTAGTCTCTGTGTCCTCTATTCTGTACCATTGGTCCACCCGCCTGTTTTGGTACCAGTACCATGCTGTTTTTGTTACTATTGCTCTGTA